CTTAGAAATTTGCCTCGGAGAAATTCTTGCATGCAGGCACGAGGAAATGTGTGTGCGGATGTTCCTCCCAGCCCTGCTTGTAAGGGCAAAACACTGGGACAAGCCCACGGTTCTGTTGTCGGGAGGATGCTAACTCCTTGGAGTATGTTGATAAAACGGGATACTACACAGCAGTGAAAACGAATGGATTACAGCTACCCGTGTCAACACCGGTGAATCCCACACCCATAATACTGAACAGAAAATCAAGCTGCAGAAATATATATATCTATATATATCTATATATATATCTATATATATATATATATATATATCTGCAGAACATATATATATATAGCTATGACATATGTATAACATCTAGATGTTATATATAAATATATATACTTATGGTATGATTCTATTTTCACCAAGGTAAAAACTTATACAACTAGGCTGACGATCGTTTACAAGCGGTGAACCGGTAAAGCCAGGCAAGGCAACCCCGACCACGGAATTCAAGAGGGTGTGGACCGGAGGTGGGGGAGTGGGGGGGGTTGGTGGCAGCAGGGAGGGCCCAGGACCAGCTTCGACGCACTGGATGTTCTAGTTCCTAGTCTGGTGCTGAGTGCACAGGGGCTCTTTTTACAGTTCCTCTCTACACCTCGCGGTGGCGCAGCCAGGGTTCCCTAGCCCAGCGTTTGCCTTGCCTTGCCATATTTTGCCCGCGCGGACGTTTCCCCACGGATTTGCGCGGCTGTGCCAGCCACGGGTGGCCACGTGACCGAGTTCTGGCCAATGGGATGGCAGCGGCCGTGGGGGTGGGAGTCACTTCTGAGAAAGAACCCTCAGCGGGTGGGACGCGCCCTCTGTGCGCCCCTGGCTTGGGCAGCTCCGGTGCGGTCTTGAACCACGGAGCCACCCTGCGGATGGAGAGCGGCAGGATGGTAGAAATAGGCTCAAGGCATGGGGGCAATGCCGCCACGGAACTGCGGCAGCCCTGGGCCTCTTACCTCCAAGGTTGTGTGATGAGGAGGGAGTAAACCATCCTTTACATTGGAGTTGACAGGATGCCTGGGTGGGTGGCCCAGTCGTTAAGCATCCAACTCTTGGTTTCGGCTCAGATCATGATCTCACGGGTTGTGAATTCGAGCCCCACATCGGGCTCGGTGCTGACCGTGCGGAGCCTGCTTAGGATTCTCTCTCTTCTCTCTCTGCCCCTCCCCTGCGCTCTCTCTCTCTGTCTCTCTTTGAAAAATAAATTTAAAAACCTAAAAAAAAAAAAAAAAAGCCTCGGGAGCCAAGACTATTCCTAACGAACATAATCATACATGTTAAAATAGTCTTGTGTGTGGATTTAATGCTAACCGCAGTCGGTTGAACTCTCAGTGCTTACATATAGCAAGTGCTCACTAAATATCACTAAGAGTTACTGAAGGAATGAATGAATGAAGGGGCGTCTCAGTGTTTCTCACAACGTCTTTGTTCAGGATGCCAGCTGTGGCGGGGGATGAGGGGAGTCGGGACATTGTGGGGAAGTCGGCCTTGGACAAAGGGAGCCGGAAGGAGGGGAAAGAATGGGGGTTCGACCTCAGGCAGGAAGAATGTAATGGACGCAGGCGAAGACCAGCGGGCCGAGGTGCTTACGGACTGGACTGGGGCGGGGAAGCTGGAGATGGTGGTCAGGACCCTACACTGGACGGAAATGGGCTTGACTTCTGAGGAGGTGGAAGGATCTGGGTCCTGAACGTCAAGCGCCCTCATTGCAACTTTGTCCCCCGTCCCCCGCCACTGTTGACACGGGAGGCGGCCCTGGAGACAGGAAAAGCTCAGACACACTTCATGCCACGTTGTGACGGAAAGCCTGCTCCCGATGAGGTTAAGGACCCTCTGCTCAGGTAACGAGCCCACCTAAAAGCACCCTGTGACATCGACCTGTAGGCCTGGGTGTTGTCACAGGCCGTGAAGGAATCTTCCTGAAATACGGATCTGTTAGTGTAGCTCCTACTATTAGGGAGGCCGTGAAGGTCAGTGGTTAGCCCAAGTCTGGAGGCAAGCTGGGTTTGTATCACCGTTACACCACGGAAGCCCTCTGAACCTCAGTCTCTTCATCTGTAAAATGGGGAGGCAGTGGGACCTGTCTCATAGAGTTGTGAGAATTTCCCAGAGTGCTGTATTGAGAGGCCTTGTTCAGTGCCTGCTAGCTAGTAGGTGCTATTGTCTTTGCTGGGGCCCATTGGGGGTGGGGGTGGGGGACACGGATGGAGCACACACAGCTCCTGTGCTTGAGAAGCTCACAGACTCATTGAAGAGAATGGGGATTACTCTGCTGTGTCAAGAGAGCTCCCTGGGGGAGGCATGCCCAGGGAGCACAGGGAGCGGATACGCATAGATCCTACGAAACAGGATTGTTCAAATGACTCTGTCAACCCCGGGACCCCAGGGGCAGGTGGGTGATGAGTGAATACCGTCATGTGTCAGCAGCTCTGCCTCATCTTGAGAGGCCTTACGGTGTAGTGGAAAGGTGGCCTTGCCACTGAGAGCACTCGCATTTGGTCCCTCTTTCTGTCATCCGTTAGCCATGTGATCTTGGGCAAGTTGTATGCTTTTTGACGCATTCAGTACTTCCGCTAGTCCTCAACTTTTACTGAGAGCCTACGAGGTGTGGTGGTTTGAACTGGGCACCGCAATAGAGGGGACATTGATACAGCAGAATTCTCTGTCCCCAACAACTGAGTCCAAGAGGCACCGGGACAAATAATTAACTTGTATGACTCAGGGGTGGTGATCACTGGCCTCTGGGAGAAGCCACCATGAGCCAGGCGCCAGGCTTAGCACTTTATATTTAATCCTCAAAAAACCCCTTTTGTTATGTTCTCCACTTAAAAAAAAATTTTTTTTTAACGTTTTATTTATTTTTGAGACAGGGAGAGACAGAGCGTGAACAGGGGAGGGTCAGAGAGAGGGAGATGCAGAATCTGAAACAGGCTCCAGGCTCTGAGCTGTCAGCACAGAGCCTGATGCGGGGCTCGAACCCATGGACCGAGAGATCATGACCTGAGCCGAAGTCGGCCGCCTAACCGACTGAGCCACCCAGGCGCCCCATGTTCTCCACTTTTTAAAGGCATGGGAACGGAGGCATAGAGGTAGAGGAATGCATCTAAGGATTTACTGCCGGTGTGATCAAAAGAGCTGAGATTTGACTTCAGGCAGTGGATTTCTAGGTGACCCCTGTGTGATATTGTCACAGCAGAGCATGGAACCCTGGAGGGTGCACAGAAGCGTGCATAGCTCAGTCTGGGTGCTGGTGGGTTGTCAGGAAGGCTTCCTGGAAGAAGCCTCATCTCAGAGGAGCCCTGAAGGGTAAGTAGAAGGTGGCAGATGAAAGAGGGGAGGGAAGAAAGGTGCTAGGGAGAGGAGCAAGGGTTAACCAGAGACAGAGGACGGGATCCTGAGGCCAAGAGCCTTTGTCTGAAGGACAGATGGTTGTGCTGGATATAATTGTGTGTGTGTGTGTGTGTGTGTGTGTGTGTGTGTGTGCGCGCGCGCGCGCGCGCGCGTATAATCAGTTGGGAGAGTTAGTGGCTGCAGTCAGATTATTCAAGGCCTAATAAGCCATTTAAGGTATGAATTTAGGAGCAGTGGGGAGCCAATGAAGGGTTTTAAGCAAGGGGGACATGTGACCAGACTTGTATGTTAGGATGTCGGTACTGATGGCCAAGTGGGGAATGTGAGGGAAGGGTGAGACTGGAAGCCACCAGCCCCATTGGAGCCACCAGGATCCCTTGCCTGGATCGCTGTGGCAGGCGTCCAGGGGAGAGATGGTGGCGGCCCGGGCGGGGTGGGAGCAGTGGGGATGGAGAGAGGGATGGTCGTGAAGTCAGCGGAGGTCTGTTGATCTGCCAGGTGGGAACAGGGGGCAGTCCTGCTTCCCTGATGGTAGAAGTGAATAGATGAAACGGGAACTAATAAACCCACCCGGTAAATTGCAAACCCCGTGCAGAGGTGCAGGCTGGTGAGCACGGGCATCCTGTAGTGAACGAGACTGGGCATGACGCACGTGGCTCCGTCCCACTCCCCCCACCCCCCAAGCTTCTATCTCCTTCTGTGAAAAATGGGGTAAGGTTGTTGTAAACCCCAACAAGACGTCAAAAAGTGCTGGACACCGTGCCTGCCGCATAATAAATGCTAGGGAACTAAAAATTCCCGCAGAGATAGCATCCCTTCCCCTACCTCGTGCACAAAGATCATGGGGCCCGGCCCCGTGGACATTGCCATCTGAGGGATGCTCCTTCCCTTTTTTTATTTTTGAGAGAGAGAGACAGAGTGTGAGCAGGCGGGTGGGCGGTGGGGGGAGCAGTGAGCGGGAGACACAGAATCTGAAGCAAGCTCCAGGCTCTGAGCTGTCAGCACAGAGCCCAACGCGGGGCTTGAACTCATGGACCGTGAGATCATGGCCTGAGCCAAAGTCAGGCACTTAACCGACTGAGCCCCCCAGCTGCCCCGGGACGCTCCTTCCTGATAGCATCTCACGAAGATCTCCGGTATGTTGTTCAGATCCCTCTTTGGAGAGAAAATGCCAGCGGCCTTTTCTGCTTTGCATAATCCACCTTCATTTTCTGACAACTGCTTTCTCTGAACCCCCTATGGTTCATTTTCCCTGCTTTGGCACATTCGATTTCATGGCAGAGATCCAGGCCACAGTGGTCAAATGCCATCTAAACCACTGACCCAAGAGGACAGAAACGTTTCACGTGATGAGGAGCCACAGGACCGGGGATGCCGCTCATGCGAGCACACTCTTGTTTTCAAGCCAAACACACTCCCTGCCTTGGAAACCTTCAAGACCCCCAGCGCCTGTCGCAGAAAGGGCAGACATCTGGACAACCAGACATCCCAGCTATGTTCAGTGGGACCCAAAGCTTTTCACCTTCTCTGCCCTGACTCTCCTCTCCCTGCTGTGCCTTTGCATCTTGCCCTTGCCCCGGTGCCCACCTTTGCTTACAACTCCCCTCCCCGATGAATCAAACTCTTTCCTCCCCTTCACCTAAAACAGTGTCTGGTTTACTCCCGAGGGACAGCTGGGAGCCATGGGTGGGAATGTTCTGGCAGGGCCAGGACTAGATGAGGTGCCTAGGGTCCAAATCAAAGAGGCACTCGCTCTCAGGATCGTGCAGGCGCAACGAGCATCTTCTTCAGTTTTGCACCTCAACCTTGCCTGGTCCTGTGTAGGGCAGGAGATGTCAGGTGGGTACCCGAGCCAGTGTGGTAGTTTTCAGCATTGCCTCCTAAGGTAGTGAGCTACCCGTCACTGGAGGCATTCAAGCTGAAAGTGGTCAGCTGCGTCTTAGGGATGCTGAAGAGAGCATTTCTTTAATGGCTGGGAGGTGGACTAGATGATTCTGCCTTCCACCCCTGGAAGCTAGGATCTAAGGAGCCTTTCCTGATGGTGCATCTCAGAACTGCGTCTCTTTCCTTCCAGCTCTGTTTTTACCTCCAAGACCACTCATCCGGCCGTCCACCGCAGGCTGTCTCGTGACAGCTCTCGTACAGCTGGCCTGTCTTGTTATTTCGGATTTCACGAGTTTCTGTGTCATTGTCCTAACGGCGTTCCACATGCATCAAGGACAGGGATCGAACTGCACACTTTCTGTTCTCTCGGTGGGTGCGGGAGACTCTCTAATATTCACTAGAAATCCTGCTCCAGCATTTTCCATATCATGCGATTCAATGATCGTGTCAACTGGTTGAGTGGGTTCTATTCACGAGCCCCTTCTACTAGAGGCTCTCAAGCTTGCTAAATAGTAACTATTGGGTAAATGTTACCTAGTTTCCTAGAAACTCAGGACCGGGGCGTCAGAATGCCTGGGTGTGTATGTAGCCTTGGGCAAGTTGCTTAACCACTTTGGGCCTCAGTTTCCTTTCTGTAAAATGGGGTAAGGAACATTACCTATTCCAGAGTTCCTTGTGTGGGCTCCATAAGTTTAATGCACATGTAACGCTCTTAGAACAGTGTGTGTTGGGAGCTGTCGGTACACATGATCTGTAATTATTGTTGTCACAGGACTGGTGGGTCTTGTCATGCCTAGAGAAAGGAACGATCGCAACTCGAGCCTTAGTATTCCCGGGTGTTTAAAAAGACTTGGACTGGTCACCCAGGTGGGAGCTTCTCATTGCTCAGAAGTGTCTACTCCCCAGAAGAGAGTTCTGCCCAGGAGACACTTGTAGACGAGGGAAAGGTGAGTCTCCCAGGAGTCTGACTGGCAGGGATCAGCCTGCTAGAATTCGATCACCTTTGGGGAACGTCCAAAGAGAGTTCTCCAAATGACAAAGCTGAGGACAACACTTGGTCTTTAACTATTGAGTCACTGATCAATGAAGACACCTTGCCAGCCTTCTCTGTGCTAGGCACTCTGCTAGGGAAGCAGGGAAGGACGAAAACACTAGAATCTGTTCCGAAGCCTTCAGAGTCTGGGAGCGGGGTGGAGGGAGGCCAGGGGTGGGACCCCGTGAGCTCTGCCCCCCAGAGCCAGCCTGTGCTCAGAGAGGAGCAGCCGAGACAGCCGGGCCACCTTCCGTCTCTCCGCCGCAATCCCCAGGAGGAAAGGGGTTCTGGAAGGCTGAGGAAAATGACTGAGAGAAGTTGCAGCTGATCCAGACAGCTCAGCGAGGCTGGAGATCAGGAGGGAGGCGGGTGTGTCGAGGAACCGGAGGCAAGCTCGGGGCAGGGGGACCGCCAAGGACCCCGCGCAGGTGGAGGAAGAGAGGGCTCTGGAAAGACCTGGCTGTCGCTCGCGGGCTGCTGAGGACAGGACTTCGGTTGCTGTGGGAAAGGCAAACGCTATTTTTCCTCTCGGTCACTTAAGACAATGGGGTGTTGTGACACTCCGGAATCTGAAGATAAATGTTTAATCAAAGGATTCAATTTGAGACGATGTCAGAACCTGATTAGATCCACACCGCACAGAGGGCTTTCGGTTAGGAGCTCCTTCGGGGTCTGGCGTGTGTGTGTGTGTGTGTGTGTGTGTGTGTGTGTCTGGGGCCGCCGAGGGGCCGCGTGGCCTGGGTGGGATAGCATCTTCCAGCCTCCAGGCCTGCAGTCTGCAGATTCTGGTTCAGAGGCACTGCTTTTGGCACCTCTGGAAGAGGTGCTGCAGAGTCCCGGCCATCCTGGGCCCGGGAATCTGCACTTGCAGGATTGGGGCTGCAGCATGCGACTGTAGAAAGGTGCAGATGAACTTGACCTACCTCAGGCTTAAGGCCATGACTCCAGTCAAAGGAGGGAGGACTCCTCAGAGGAGGCCAAACTTGCACAGGGGAACTGTCTGTGAGCCTGCTTGGCCATTGAAGGTCAAGGCTGCTGGAAATTGGTAAACAATCATGGTTTCGGTCCCAGCCTGGGCTGACATTCCTCAGGTATGTCCTGACATAGCCACGCTGGCTGTCAAATACCGGTCGGTAAAATGACTTCAGGCCAAGCCCTCCCGAATTCCCCTTCTCCCTCTGCCCTGGCCATGCTGGCCCCTCCTCTAGGACCTCCTGGACACCGCCCTCCCCGCCCCTCCTGCCACCCCAACAAATAAGGGATTGGAGCCTAACATGGGGTCGTGTCCAGGAGGCCGTCTCATCATAGCCACTGTCCATTCTGCCTTGTCAGGCCGCCAGGCCTCCGTAGATGCGAAATATGCTATCACCTCAATTCCAACCTGTAAAAATGACAGCAGTCTGGGCGGCAGGATGTGATAGACCTAGGAGCGTGAGCTTTGGAGTCAGACCCCGCCCCTGAGTTCAAGAGCCTCAGCACTGCCTGCCAGGAGCTGTGTGAAAGTTGGAGCCTCCTCTGTGAATGCGGTTTCTAACACGTGCGGCAAAATGTCGTGAAGATCAAAGAACGTCAATAATGTGGGTGGTTCCAGGGTATAATGGTTGGCACTTCAGATTCAGACTCTAGCAACCCAAGTTCAAGTATCAGCGGGGTGTTTCCAAAGGGTGTAGAATGTAGAGTTGAAGAGTATAATATCTGGAGCAGACTGTCTAGGCTCAGATCCCTGCTCTGACACTGCTAACCTTGGCCTCGGGTGAGAAATGTCACGTCTGTCTGTCTCAGTGGCCTTATCTGGTGAAGGAGATGATAAATATCTCCCGGGTGGTTGGAAGCATAAATACGCTGATGGACTTAGGAGACTATCTAGTGCAGAGTAGGAATCCAATAAATGTTAGCCACTCGTTCATCATTATGGAGTGTGCCTGGCACACAGTAGGTGCTTAATAAATGGTAGTGGTGGTGTTCCTTCCCTCATCCTGCCACGCTGGCTGGCCAGCGCCTGCCTGGTTATTTGGCTGGCCGTATCCTCTACCAAGAACGTGCACATCCAAAGAACGCCTTCCTCATGTCTCCTCAACCTTCGTCTCCCCTCCCTTCTGGCTACGCCACCACCTCCTAGGTGCCCAGTACGTTTTCTTTATTTTTATTTAAAAAAAAAAAAATTATCTTGAGAGAGTGAGAGAGAGCGCAGCGCACACACAAGTGCATGGAGAGCAGGGGAGGAGCACAGAGAAAGGGAGAGAATCCCAAGCAGGCTCCGGGCTGTCAGCACAGAGCCCGATGCGTGAGATCATCACCTGAGCTGAAATTAAGAGTCGGATGCATAACCGACTGAGCCACCCAGGCGTCCCTACCCAATACGTTTTAAATCAGTGAATGAACGAGGGGGACCCAGACCAAGGACGCCTTTCATCCCAAGCTTGGGAGAGGATGCTTTTCGCCAGGGGGTTACCAGCTGTAGACATTTCATCAGTTAGACATGCCCTTTTCCATCAATGCTGCCATTTCCAAACGCCAGCCCAAGAGATGTTAGTAGGTAATGGGGTTCCATTGCCAAAGAGGTTTGGGAAATGCTGGATCAAATGAAGTTAAACAGGTTTCTTCACCACTGGGCTGTTAGAGGGTTTGCTCTGCGAATTGCATCATCGGACCCTGATGTGAGACTGTGGTGCACGACCTTCTAAACATTCGGTCACTACAGACAGCATGTGTACATGGATGTGCGTGTGTATTTCATCTCACGGGGCCAGGTTTCTCAGACCATCTTTGGGAAACACTGCACTACACGGATCTGGGATTTTTCTACCCGTCCTTTCACGGAGAGCAGAGGGTAATGAAAAAGTAGGGTGCAGAGGTTTCCAGTACCTTTCTCTCCCCTTGTGCACTAGCCTGGGAGGATTTTTACACATGTCTGCGTGCCTCTGCCGTGCCCTGTGGGCATCATGTGACCCAGCCCAGCACTCGGACCTCCTGATGTGCCCTCTCCCCTTGGCACCTGGGACAGCCCTGTTACTCTTTTCTTTCTTCTCATTTTCAGACTCCTTTGCAAACTCCTCTTCTTCTGCTTGTCTTGTAAATTTGGGTGTCTTTGGGGCTCTCCCCTTGGCCTCTTCATGTTTCATTCTGCAGGAATTCCTTGCGGAACCTCACCTGTGGCTGTGGTTTCATCCTTGCAGGGGAGGACCCGAGAATCTTAACTCCACCCCAGACCTGTCTCTTACCCCTGACTTCATGGTGCACTGGGTCCCCTAAGTATCCCACAGATACGTGGACTTCAGGCTGAACTTAGCTGCTCTCCCTTCACATGCCAGGCCTTCTTCATCCAACTGGCTTCCCAAGCTGCAAATCTGGGAGTCGTCCTTGATTTTGACCTCTCCATTCCCAGTCTGGCCTAATTGCCAATTCTTTAACAAATCTGGAATCACCCGCGTCTTCGTCTGGCCCACTGCTAACGTCCCCTGCATTCTTAGAACACCTCCAAGCCCCAGCCAACTTCTCTGACTCCCTCTTACCCAGTTCCAAACTATTCCCCACTCTGTAGCCACTGTGATTTGCAAAAGGCAAAAATCTGGGCTTCCTCTTCTCTGCTCCAGGACCCTCAGTGCCTCCCCATTCCTCCAGGATGGGGTTGGGGCTCTGTGGCAAGGCCTGCTGCGGGATCCACTGGATTTGCTGCCCCTTAGCTCATGGCTCTTCAGACTCTACTCATCAGCCATCCTGAGCTGCCCGGACTGCCACCCCTACCATGCTCACTCCTATTTCAGACTTTCTTTCTTTTCCTTTCCTCTTCTTTTTTTAAATGCTTATTTATTTTTGAGGCGGGGTGGGAGGGGCAGAGAGAGAGGGAGACACGGAATCCCAAGCAGACTCCGAGTTGACTGTCAGCGCAGAGCCCGAACCCGTGAACCGCTAGATCATGACCTGAACCAGAGTTGGACGCTTAACTGACTGAGCCACCCAGAGGCCCCCTATCTTGGACTGTCTAACTCACCTTCTGCCTGGCCTTCCTTTGCCACTTCCCTACCTCTCCCTCCTCTCTGTCTGCCTCCCTGGATGCCTCCCATTCATGCTTCAGCTCTCGGCTGACACACAATTTCCTCTAGGAAGGCTTCCTTGAAGTCTGCTCTTTCTCCCAGGCCCCTCTTCCCTTCTGTCCAGCCCAGCCCAGCACTCCACCCTGGCCCACACCACCCTGAGACGGCGCATTGGCCTGTGTCCTTGCCCACCCCCTCCAGGGCAGTGCAGGCTGCTGTGTTTATCGTCATGTCCATAGGCAAAAGATAGCCTGTCCGCCTTCTGTGTCTCCAGATGTGCGTATGCACCGCCCCCCGCCCCCCCCCCCCGCCCCTTGCCAGAAAGCAAGGGGTGGAGAGCTACAGGTAGTGTGACCTCAGGTGCCCAGGCGTTTTTGCCGGGCTAGAGGAGCTTGTGAAAGCTTGCAGAGGACAGTGATTCCAACTATGGACTCAGTGAGGTTTGGGGATGTTCTGTGGTTGGCAGTGGTTCCGTTTGCCCATCACCGGCTATGATGGAGCCTGGGGGCAGAACCGGTTCCCCCTTCTCCAGCTTCTCTCACCTCTTGGGCAGGGCCAGACTCGTGGCAAGGGCCTTTGTCCCCAGGCAAGGTGACTCAGTTTACTTCCAGTCTTCCTCACTAGAGGATGCCTGGCTTCAGAGCAGGGACTCTGCATGTTTTATTCATGATGTATCCCTGCCACCCAGCAAGGGCCTTGGCTTACAGCAGGTGCTCAGCGAATGTCTGGGGAATGAATGAATAGAACGCATGTGCTCACAGCCATATGCCCACTACAGCACGTAAGTCCCGCCTGACTGTTCAGGAGGGGAAGTGCGTGCACAGGGTTGGCAGTGACTGGCTGGAGTCTCACACACAGAGAAGGCTGGTGAGCAAACGGCGTGAATTCCTGCCCGCTGTATACATTTTGTGTATCTCATGGGTACCCTGCCCACAGGACCCCAGCTGGTTTAGTCTGGATTGCCTGCTGCCCTCCGCTGCCTCTCTGCCCCATTCACTTGACTCCAGCCAGCCCGACTGCCAATTGGTCTCTAACCACACCAAGCAGGCTCCCCGCTCAGGGCCCTTGCACTTGGGGCTCCCGCCTGCAGCGCCCTTGCCCTCCGTCCACATAGCTGCCTCTCTTACGTCACTCAGATCTCTGAACAAAAACTGCGACCATCACCTTCTACTCCCTTAGCTGGATTGATTTCCCTTCTTATTTAATCACTAGCTGATGTCTGATTGCATTTTTATGGATTATGCGTTTACTCCTTGACTCTCTCGTTGGAATGGAAGATGCACGAGGGCAGGGCCTTACTTTGTTCATTTTGTAAGCAGGTGCTCAGTAAATCCCTGTGGATTGTGGGAATCCACATCACATGCTCCGATTTAACCTTCTACTTTCTTTCTTTTTAAGTTTTTTAAAATATTTATTTTTGAGAGAGATAGAGAGACAGAGTGTTGCAGGGCAGGGGCAGAGAGAGAGGGAGACACAGAATCGGAAGCAGGCTCCAGGCTCTGAACTGTCAGCACAGAGCCCGACGCGGGGCTCGAACTCATGAACCGCAAGATCACGACCTGAGGCAAAAT